AACTGCCTAAGCGAAACACTGCTTTATGGTGATAAGTGGAAGCATGTACAGAGCAGAGGTGCTTACATAAGAAAGCCAAGAGATATCTACCATAGTTTTACAGGGATATTTTCTTTGCAGATACAGACCAGAGGCCAGGAGGTATGGAGCTAGAGATGATCTTTTATATAAATGCTGAGCGTGTATATTTTCACAAAAAGCATTTGACTGAATTATTTGAATACTTTTGTACATAACAGCACCCAGGACTGTGCATGGATGAAGACCTCATAATAGCGTTTCATATTTCCCCCACAGACATAATTGATTTAATGTGTATAATACATTAGTTACATCATACAATTATATGCCAAGAAAAATGTTCAATTTATGATGAAGATGTGATTAAAAAATAGAGACAGAAAAGGAATTTCTCAAAAAAGCCATGTAGGCATGTCTAAACACAGACAGTTGTACAATTGTATATTAAATCACACTTCCACACAAAGATGCATGCCTGATCATTCACAAATCATGCTCAGTTACAACCCACATAAAATTTAAATGCCTGTGTTTGAACTCAATTGTGCTGCAGGTTAATGATCAGTTGGCTACTGTAAATGAATAGAGAATTACAGATAATTTTTACAGCTGTTTGGGCTTCAGGTGCCAGCCTCATTTGTATTTATAGAAAAGAAGTGGATAAAACTGATATCAAGACCTAGTCTTGAAAGACATTCAAGTAGAAGTTTGAGTCATTAGATCTACAATTTAGGGGTTTTTGATCCATTTTGATTTGTGCAGTATTAAAATCAGATCTAGAACACTCTTACGACCCTCAAGCCCTGTTTGCTCAAGCTCAGGTTTGCTCAAGCTCTGTACCAAGAAATTTCCCCACCTCAGGCTTAACACTACTCTGATTTTCTTTGTTCCGTGTGTGTGCATGCGTGTATGTAAATACGTATATTTCAGATTACACATTGCAATATATTTGATTTTACAATATCGTATGCAAAGATTTGTTTTATGAAAGCAGTGATGCTTGGCTCCGTCCATGTTGCCAGGTGTAGTAGCCCAGAAAGGTTCAGTTGATATTTAAGTTAGGGCTGGCTTATGTTGACCTTTGTCCTGAGTCTTTACATTGGGTTGGCAGAGATTTATCAGAGAGAAGGGCAGCCTTAGGGTCTTGGATAAATGTATTTTCTACTTCACCACTTTACTTTTTGTCTATTTTGTGCACTGAAAATTTCACACTTGTGAAATATGTAAAGACCAAGTCATGTAGCATCATAATGGAGTTTGGAAAGGCCCAAATCAAAGTAGTGGCACCAAGTGTGTGCCTTCTCCCTGTGCCCTTAGGTGAAAGAATAAGAATGTGTATTTGAATGTACCTTGCAGACCCTCTGACATCAACAGTAGCTCAATGAAGAGAATAGAGACTTCTACCCATTCACCTCCTATGAGCCTGACCTAGCAAACCAGTACTGGAGATTACCTTCCTAACTGAGGAGTTTGGGAGATCACAAGATTACACTTGTACAGTCCTCCTCACAGCATGTACTTCCAAGGAGAACCAAATCAGGATACTGGACATGTTAATGTCTCATTAGACTATTCTCAAAGCAAGAACAAATTCATTCTCTTGCAACATGGAGTAATTCAGTGAGTTGTGTTGTGGGTAAATTCTTTCTACTTTGTTTTCATGACCTACATTTTCCTTACCTTTGGGGGTTGTTGGAATGCAGAGTAGCTGTGTAGATGGCTTTGTAAGGAGTTGGTGAAGTTCTAAAGCAGTTTTTGTATTTTATCTACTCCTACCCACAATGCAGTAGTTTACAAATAGCATCATAATCTAACTAAAGCTGTTGCTGATGACTTAATTGTAACCACTTTCAAAGGTGAAAAGTGCTGTTATGTAGCTTCCTCTTTCTATTATTTTAAATTTAAATCATTTCATTCTTCTATCGAGTTTCTTCTGAAACCTTTGTTTGTCTCTGTTGCTGAATTGTATTCCCTAATTGTATTGTGAAAACTTTTATGCAACGTGTGTGCACGTCCTTCTCATATAGATAAGTTGTGAGTGCCATGTCTGAGAAGGGCTTCCTCCTTTTCCTGGGTCCTGCCTTTATTGAATTTTTTAATTAATAAAAATATTTCATCATTGATTCTTTTACTAAGTATTGGTCCTGTTGTCCTGTTCAGATAAATTTTGCAAGCCCACATTGGGAAGATGATCCTTTTTTTTTCTCTCTTTAGAAGAAGCGTTTCCATTTTAGTTTAAGCTGTTGCATACATAATCCCTTTCACACTGATATTTGCTTACCAAATGTGATGCCATGGGTGCCTTGATAAATTTTCTTATAAATTCACACATTCAGCTCAGCAACACTCGTTGGAATATTTTGTCTTCCTTGATGGTCTCAGGGGCTTTGTTCTGCAAGTGCCCTTAACTGTTCAAGTGCTCTTGAACCACAACCAGCTTTGTCAGAAGTCATGGTATTAGAGACTGTTGTCTGAAGATCTTATTTTTCTTCTAAAATACTATTTTTGGTCCTTCAAGTTTCTATACGGAGCCTCTAATTAGTTTGTCATTTGAAGCAAAGGAATGGATTGTCATTAGAAATACATTTAAAGCATGACCTAAATTGAGAGGAGGGAGAACCTTACATTTTACAATTCATGAGCTGACATATCTCTCCATTTATTCAGGATTCTAATTCCTCTTCACGGTATTTTGTGACTTGAAATATGAACATCTGCCTTCTATCTCCCTGGCTTTATTCCTTAACACAGCACGCTCATGGTGCTTTTGCAAACACCATTTCTTAAGTTTTATCTCTGAATTCATCTCAAGCACATGGAAACTGCTGAAACATTACCTGGCTGGGTTTACTTCTCATTTCGGACAGCTCCACAGCTGATTTCATATAATTTTACAGACAAAATGGTATAGTGTTATTTGTGAATAATGAGAGTTAACTTCTTTGCATTGCTACACGAAAATTTAAGTGGGCATTCTTGTTTGTCCACAACATTTCATTATCAGATGTATCATGAAGGAATAAACTCAAGTCGTTCAAGAACTTCTTAACAAATAGCAGAATTTCTAATTCTTGGAGATCTTTAAATTTTTTTAAAATATGAGGTCTTAAGTTTCACTGAATCTCTTTCCATTATTCATGACACCTGTTTGCCACCAGATAGTGAAATTAACCATTTTGAGACACTTGCTTCTATGCTTTTATAGAAATCCTGTGACTCTGGAAGACAGGAGCCATCGTAAAATGTAGACAGAAGTGGCTATATGTTTTATTGCTCTGACAAAGGTCAGAAATCACTCACTCACTCACCGTTATACAGCATGTTGGTGAAAATTTGCTTAATTGTTTATTAAGAAAATGGGTTAAGGAGAATATTTATCAAACCCAGATGTAAGATCTAAGATAGAGAATCCCTCCCTTGTCCCCCAAACTTCTTTACAAATTATGCTTAACCATGTATTACTATAATCTTATATAACATCTATAAAGAAAGTGATGTCACCTGTGTCTCAGTAGTTGAGTTCTTGTGTGACCGGAAAATATATTCACCAACTAGCAAAACACTGCCTCTGGCTCTACCACTAGGGACTGACTAGAACGGAAAAGTGTATCTCTCTCATGGGACACCCTCTCTGAATCACTCAGCCATTTTCAGATACAATTCTCTGCAATGCCGAGCCTCTTGGAGACCCTGAACATTCTCATAGTATCCTTCAGGAACCCAGGGGCAGCCTGCGTGGGAAGATTATCTAAAAGTAACATACCTTTAATTCCTTTTGTAAATTAGAGATCATGACTGGTGATTCCACAAAGCTGAGTCATTAAGTTCATAAAGGTGCAACCCAGGACATGGGTGGTTGTAAGAGAGTGGGACCTTCTTCTACCCACTTCCATGACGCTATTTAGGGGTACACAATGCTACATACTCATCAAATAAAAATCCACCCAAATGATGTATCAGTTCTCATCATCTACACCCTGAATGCAAGGGGACTCACTTTGTAAAAGAATATTACTAAAGTTTAAATCACACACGGACGCTCACACACTGATAGGGGGAAACTCCAGTACCCCACTCTCACAAACAAACAAGATATCCAGACAAAAACTAAACTGAAAATACTGGAACAAACAGCAATTTTTATAATTTACATAATAAATGGAACTAACAGATGCTTAAGAACATTTCATGCACATTCAAAAGAATATTCCTTCTTCTCAGCATGTCACAAAATTTTCTCCAAAATTTGACTTGGTCTTAACAGATACAAGGAAATAGAAATAACCCCCTGCATTCTATTAGAGCTCCACCGATTAAAGCCGGATGCCAACAGCAGCAGAAACTGCAGAAAGTCTACCAATTCATAGAAGCTGAACAACTTTCCACTGAACGAAAACTGGGTCAATACAGAACTAAAGAAATAAAGACTTCCTAGAATCCAAGGAAAATGAATCCACAGCATAGGCAAACTTATGGGACACAGTGCAAGTCATACTAAGAGGAAAGTTCATAGCACTGTTTATATAAGAACAAAATCAAACAAAAAACTTGAGAGATGTTATGCTAGCAACTTAACAGTATACATGAAAGCTCTAGAACAAGAAGACATAAGCACACCCGAGAAGAAGAGACAGCAGGAAATAGTTAAATGGAGGGTTGAAATCAATCAAATAGAAACAAAGAGAATACAAAGAATCAGTTATTATATTATACATATATACGTATGTGTGTGTGTGTGTGTGTGCGTGTTGCTGAGTGTTTGCCTGGGTACTGCTTTGTGCCTGGTGTCCCTCAGGGCCAGAAAAGGTATCAGGTGCTCTTCAAATGGAGATTCAGATAGTTGTGAGCTGTCACGTAGGTGCTTGGAATCTGGTCTTCTTTTGGAATAGCATCAAATTTTCTTCCTTCCTTCCTTCCTTCCTTCCTTCCTTCCTTCCTTCCTTCCTTCCTTCCTTCCTTCCTTCCTTCCTGCCTTCCTTTCAACAGATCTCGTCTCAAGTTTATTTGTAAAAACAGCATAAGGTCCTGATCATCTGCAAATCCTGTAAAGGTACTCACACCAGTCCATCTGTCTTCACATTGGTAGACTAAGATCTTTTTTATGGGGCCTTCACGGGGGCCTGGATACCTTTGGGAGCCTGAGATGGAGCAGAGGCCTCTGCCTTGGTTTGAACCTTGGATTTTGTTATTTGGAGCCTACGACCCTTGGCCATGTAGCTTCTAATCTGCTTCCCAAATTTGGGGTGAGCAATGGAAGCGAGACTGCTGAGTTTGCCTCTGGGAACCTTTGGCACCTTGGGCTTCACCCCCTGGGGCTTCACCAGGGCCTTGATGGCCTCTGCATGTGCACTCATGGCCTCTGCGTTATTTGTCTGCATCTTCGTCAGGCCTTTCTTGCTAAGCTTCTTGGCAAAGCACATGTTCCCTAGGAACTTACAGTTGGCCCCCTTAAGAGATTCGTATCTTTGTGACCGGGGTTTCTTGATGCTTTTTCTGTGCCATTTTTGGGACTGGTTGTGTGTGGTGTGGTTCTTTGACTTGGCCGTGGCGGCTCCCCGAAATGCCTGCGAACGGAAGAGAAAGAGCAGCAGCAAGTATTCCTAACCACTAAAGCCTTTACTATAGTTCCTAGCACTTATTTTATACAATATCAAGAGATCTTTTTTCACTTTTTTTCCTTCCTTCCTACCTTTCCTTCTCCCGCCCTCGTCTCACCGCCCCACCCTTCTCTCCCACTTCTAAGCATGAGGCCTCACCTGAGATGTGGATGATATACTCAATGCCACTCCATCGGAGAAAATAAATTTTCCCTCCCCCAGAAGATATTGCTTGCAATTAGCTTTTTGCTTAGAAATGGAACCTTGTGCTCACTCCCCCTTCTTCAGAGATAATAAGATATTTAATTTCCCAGTGGAAGCTTGGCTGTCAGTACTGTACGGATATGTGTTATAGTTAAAGGTATCACACAGAAGACTGGTCCTATAAGCACCAGAGCTCCTTGGGTAGCACCAAAGGCCCAGTGTACAGTCTGTTAAGGATGTTACCTTCCTAAGAGTATCCACCGTGAGAGTTGTTAGAGGTTCCAACTACTCTTGCAATGGAGGTGTTTATGTTTGCCCTTTATTTGGTTAAAATATGCTTTATTACAGTAACCAATTTTCAGTAGTGTGCCCAACCTTGCATTCCTGCAATGAACTCTACTTGTTCAAAGTGGTTAATCCTTGCTATACATTTCTGGTTTTGGTTGCAATATTTTATTGAAAATATTTGTAATAACTTTTCTAGGAGATAAAGTTGTTTTTCCTTTGTTACATTTCTCTGTGATATCAATGTACTATTGATATTATAGAGTTAGTTCATAATTTTTCCTTCCTCTCCTATTTTTCAGAAGAATTTGTTTAAATATTGGATTTTTTGTTTTGGTGTTTGGTAGAACTTTATAGTGAAAACATATGTGCTCAGACTGTTTTTTGGAAAGTTAAAAAAATATAGGTTTTGTCTGTTTATCTAATACAGATTTATTGAAAAATCCTACAGATGAAGCTAGGAGTAGAGGAAAATAGTTTACTTGCAGATAACCCAGAACTATGTCTAAAAGATTCGCGTTTCTGCCTGACATATGGGGATTCCATTCTAGGGGATTTCAGATGAGAGAATAGAAAAGTCCTCCAAATCCAAACCCACTGAAAGCATAAGGACATAAGGACATAAGCTCTTGTGATTTATCATCCAAGGACTGATCCTACGTAGCATCTACGTTCGGAGTTCCCAACCTTCTCTATAAAGGAACAGGAGGAAGCCCACAGGCAGGGACTGAGTCAGATCAATAGGCATGACTGAAAACCAGACAATGACGGAAGAGGAAAGGCATACCATCTTAACAGTGGTTTGGGGAAGCCAGAGAGAAGTGGGAAGACAAGGAGATAGAACATGATGCAGATAGCTGTCAAAGTAAACGTGATCCTTTAGTTTTGATCTGTTCTTGCCTTTCCATGTGAGCTAGAGAAAGGTACTTAAATCCTCTAAAGTCCATGTTTCTCTTCTTAACCAAAGATAAACTTACTTCCAAAAAGAGTAATTGTGAGAATCCAAAAAGAAAATAAGCCTCTAGGGACTTATTAAATTCGGCGGACACCATATCCCTCCTCTCTCTGTGTTGCTCTACTCCATTTCGGAACTTTGAGAGGAAGCCAGAAAAGAGAAAACTCTCCTGTGCAGGCTGCTCTGAGACTTGCTAATATGATGTCATAGTCCAGCAACACTCACAATGCTCAGTAGATGCTGGATGGAGCCTGGTGTATATCTCTATGATGGGGACTGCAGTGCAGACTCTGGAACATAGATGCTTTGGGATGGATGTATACTGTCCTTTGAGAAACAGTTGGGGTCTTCTATTACATAGTTGGAGACTAAAAGCTGAAGTGCATGTCCCTTACTAGCAATGCAATCTAAGTTTTCCATTGTGAACCGGGAGTTGTGTGACCCTGTAAGTGGTAAAGTTGGGACTACACAACAGAATTCCACAGACAAAGGATAGTAGGCCATGAGAAAGACTGGAGTTGTCTAGAGAAACAAACAAGTTAGATGGAGAAATTGACGTACTCAGCATTCTCCCTGTAACTACACTACCTTTCCTCACAATTAAGTAAGACCTTATATATAACATGTTCATGCACTAATTCATACATGTACATATGTTGCTTATGGTATAGGAGTAGGTAGATACTAACTGCCATGTATTTAATAATCTTAGAAACAGTGGTTGTACGGTTGGAAGCATATGCAGCTGATGTACTTACTGCACATTTGATACCACTGAATATAATTTCTCATCCAAACCTACAAAGTTAAAATGGATTTTGGAAACTGAAGAGTCTTGATATAATCTTCACTTGCAAAATTAAATGAAATTTGAATTGAACTTTTTTAGTACTCTTCACTTTAGAACGTTTCTCATGCATAAGTGGGGACGAGGAAACGGCAGAATGGGTGTGCTACTGAAATTAATTGCTAGGCATTTTATGGATCACAACAATGAATTAAATAAAAATAACTTATGTGAAGAACATCACATACTACTGAGTTGGCTATGGGAGTGTGGTGATGACTAATTTTCATCAGGGAATACATTCCTGTCACTCTGGAATGGTTGATTCACTATGAAATGAGAATAAGCCCCAAAACCATATGGAAAAAGTATGAAAATATCTTACCTGTCCTCAGAGATACAGAGAACAGGGCAATAATTCATGATCCTCGCAAACTTTTCCTTCTGTCTTTATGTAATGTTGCCTTTCACTGAGATTTCCTTTCCATTTCCTATATTTTTAATAGGAAGGCGTTTTCTAAGGTGGAAATATAAAATCAGGTGTTTGCTGGAGAATTTTCTTCATGATCTGGCAGCGGTGTTTGTAAATGAAGTATGATCTTGATGAACTCAGTGAACTGTTTCAAGGGTTCCCAACTGTTTCAAGGTACCCTTAGGATGATTTTCACACTGAAACTAAATATTTTACTGGGAAAGAGAATCCCTTGGAGATATGATTACTGCTTACTCTCTTCCTTTTATTCTCTGTAAAAAGTTAAGGATAGATGAAAATTTAGGATACTTCTATTACTATGAATTGATTATTAGTAACTTAATTCTTGGCTCTTATGTTCCTTCTCATCCAATACTTTTTGGACATCGTTTGTTCAGAAGTAGAAAAAGGAAGTGCTATGACTTGAACATGACAGTTTACCAAACACCCCTGTGCTCTAACACATTCTTGAGTGGGTCTCCTTTGGGAGGGTCTGTAGATGTTTTAGCAAGTGGGGCTTGATGAGACTCTGCTGATGGGGCCCGATCGGTGATAATCTTCCCTGGTTCAGTCCTCAGTACTCTATGCTTTGTGATCCCCTGAAAGATGAACAGGCTTCCTTGTGCTCCACTACCACTGACAAGATGGTTTTCCTGACGCAGTGAGTCATAAATCTCTCTCCCTGCCTCTCCCTTTTCCCCACCCCTCTCTCCGTGGGAGAAAGTGGGTTTCAGGAATGAGCCACTGCACTCAACTTTCTTTTTAAAAAATTATTTTTATTTTATGCATATAAGTGTTTTATACGCATGTGTTTAAGGGCACCACTATTGTGTTATGCTTAGAGGTCATGAGAGGACTTCAGATAAGGGAAGTTAAAACTGAATGTGAGCGCAAGGTAGGTCGTGAGAGCAGTGCCCACTTTCTCTCAAAGCAGGAAGTTTCCCTGGCTTCTGAGCCATCTTTCCAGCCCTGGCAGGCTTTTTACATGAGTGCTGCTCACCATGCAGATGATCTCATGCTTGTATGATAATAGATTTACTAAGCAACCTATGTCTCAGTCCCAGAACAACTTTAAGTGAGAAGCGTGATGAATAAATGGGATACAAAAAGGCTTGCCTTAATATTTGTTTACACAATGTTTTGACTTTCTAAGACAAAACGAGATAAATCTCAGCAATTTGGTAGCGTTGGGATATGTAAACTATCAAACAATAATAGAACTCTTCTCTTCCTCCATTCTCACGCAGTGGTCCAGGCTCTGTGGAGAACTTTGGGGGCTCAGCAGCTGTGTATACCGTTCCTTCCTGGTAACACAATCTACATCCACTGTTATTAGACATGTTCAGTGAGGTCTGATCATGAAGATGGAGTTAAAAGGGGAAAAATTCCCAGACTTATAAAGTTCAAGGAAGTACCTCTGCTTTTATTCTGTCTGTCTCTCGTAAACGTGTTTTCCTAGGCTGTGTGTAGATTGCTGCTGACTGGAAGTTAGGAATGCTCTAGCATTATTCTGTATGTGTTGACATATACAAGGAGCTATAACAGGGGAGTCTTTGATAGGGCAGGAATGCGATAGCTTCCCTGGGGCTGTAATCCTGAACTGTCTCTCCATGTCCTGTGCTAGGTTTTTGTTTGTTTGTTTGTTTTGTTTTGTTTCTTTCTTTCTTTGTTTTTTTCCTGTTAAACAGAGTATTTTTGGAAAGAGGCAAGAACTAATCAGATATCATACCTTTGTAAGTTCATAGAATATAAGTCTTTCATCTTTTAAAAGTGAAAAAAGAGTGCTTCTGGGCTAAGAATATATGCCAAGCTTACTGCCGGCTCACATATTTTACGGTTGATTTATAACCCTCTCAGAACGGATGGAAACGGTGACACATTAATAACTCCAGCAGCACGAGTTCTGCATACTTCAAGGAAAAGAAATAGAGAAAAGAAACAGGAGACAAGGAATGGAGAGGGAAGGTAGCTCCTTCTGGGATGGAGGAGAATATCCAACAGCCTACATGAGGTTCATAGTTCTTTCACAAAAAACAACAAGGGCTCGAAAGTGCTGGTACAGCAACGAAGAGAGACTGCTGCTTTCACAGAGTACCTGGTTTGGTCCCCAGCACCTGACTGTGCAGCTCACAACTCTCACTCCAGTTTTAAAAGATCTGCTGCCTTCTGCTCGTCTCTGCAGCCATGTGGACTCACGTGATACATCTATAGACAAGCACACATGTCCATACTTAAATGTTTTTAAAAGAAATAATTGACTAGAGGGTTACTTTAATAATCATTATTTGCTATCATCTTACTTTTCCTTATTCATTTAAATACAGTGCTTTAAAGTGAACAAGGGGGCATCCAGAGCGTGATGGGGAAAACCACAGAGACAGTTGACCCGAGCTAGGGGGAACTCACAGACTGTGGACTGACAGCAAGGAATCTGCAGTTTTCTGTGTTGACTCAACTCTAACTCTTCCTTTTTTGCAAATTTGGGGCAACATGTGAGTGTGGAGTCTTATGAACATGTTCATGTAGTTGTGCACCTGTGCTTAAGGGCACACATTAACGTGTCTGTGTGCATGTGTGCATGTGTGAATGTGCAGGGACCAGGTGTAATTCGAAAAATCTTCAAATTACTAGACCTCCGAATGTGGGTGAGAGTTATGTGACTTGATCTGTTGGGAAGGAGGGCTGGCAGTCACACAAGGACCTATCCTGGGTGCATGAATTGACTTTTTGGAGTCCATTTACTATGGTGGGATACCTTGCTCAGCTTTGATGTGGGGGAGGAGCTTGGTCTTGTCTCAATTTGGTACGCTAGACCTTGTTGATTCCTCAAGGAAGGCCTTACCTCGAGCATGGTAAGGGGGAGCTGAAGGGGATTGGAGATGGGGAGAGAAGGGGAACTGGGGTTGATATGTAAAATGAAAAGTAAAATTTTTAATAAAAATTTGACAAAAAAGAGTAAAATAAAAATACATGTTTGACAACTAAAAAAATATGATAGACTGTCTGAACCTGTAGACAGTAGAATGTTTTAAGTGATAGGTAGTCATGAGATCAACCATGGGGCATCAAGCCATCTCAAGGTGTTAAAGGACTGAGTAGCTACATGGCTCAGTCCTCAAAGGACCCGCCTTGCAATCATGAAGAGCTAAGTCTGTATTTTCTGAACACATGAAAACCTGGCAAGCAAGGTGTCTGTATCAGCAGTGCTGGGTGAGAGTGACGCTCACACTTGGAGAAAACGGCAGGGGTAGAAGAGTGCCTGGAGCTTCTTGGCTAGCTGAACAGGTGAAGTCCAAGTTCGGCAAGAAACTGTCTCCAAGACAATGTGACTAGTGACTGATGAAGGTTTTTTTGAATTACACCTGGTTCACATGCACACGCAGGTGCACACGTGCGTGCATGCGCGCGCACACACACACACACACACACACACACACATTCATGTGTACCCATATGCACAGGTGCATGTGTTTACAAAAACATGTGCATAAAGACCCTACACTCACATGCTGCCCCAAAACTCCAAAGAAGAGTTAGATTTGTGTCAGCGCAGAGCACTGCAGCTAAATCTGGGCATCTGCGTCTCCTTTTGTGGTCAAAGGTCTTCGAGGCTGCAGGTAACTTGTTCCACCAATTCACTACACACATGCACTAACAATGGTCTGGACCTTCAAGGACTCAGCTTTGCTAGCACAGGTAACCTGCGTTTGACCTTACCTGTGCTTTCATAGAGAATAATTGTCAGCAATATCCAGAAAGGGTGCTAGGATCCAGTGTGCTTTGACAAAACACAGAGGCTCACCCTGCCACCCACATATTCCAATCACTTGATAAACCTTTATAAAACCTTCCTTAGAATCTACGGCGAGAGACGTACGACCCACAAACCTGCTGTCGTCACTTTGACACAGCCAGCTTCTCTCTGTTTTTGGGTTACTTTTTGGGTTTGTTCAATAAACCGCCTGAACTGTCTATGAGCTGGACAGAATGCTGCTGCTGGCGAGTTCTCGGCAACTGCAATTAGTGAAAATTAGAATGGTCCTCTTGGAGAGCAGTCAGAACACCTCTCAAGGAAACTCTTCAACGGTGTTGTTGTCAGAGAGGTCAAAAGCAGAATCTTGCTCTGGCAATGGTAAGAATGAGTTTTCTTTCACAATTTAATTGGATTCTTCTAACCGCAGCTTCCTTACCCATTTTGTGAAGGGGATAACGATGCTACCCAACCCCCTGAGTTAGAGCAAGGATTATAGGAGATAATGAATGTAAAACATTTAATCCAGTGTCTCTTAAGTAGTAAATGCTCAGTAAATCTTAATTACATTATGATCATTATATTCCTTGTCATGCATAGTAAGACACCAGCGAAAATCAGTGTGTCTGTGTGCTGAGAGGTGGCTGGGCCAATCTCTGTGGCAGAGACAAGGCTGGGCTAATATTACTGCAGATGCTTCATCCTTTGCCTCTGGGAAATGTAGATGGCCTAAGAGTTGCAGAAACTCTAATAACTGTGTGGCTGTAATATGGCTGAGTGGTATACAGGTGCTTTTCATAGACAATGCCCTGCGTTTAATCTCACTTCTCTCCTCCACCAAAAATGTAGCATTGTTAACTAAGGTCATTTGTCAAACAGTTTTACAAAGATTGGGGAAATGCTGAAATTATACCTTTAGTTAGTATTCTCAAGTTTTCTGTAAATTGTCAACAAGAGAAGAGGCAAGCAACAGAAACCTAACCATTTTTTCGAAAGTCAGCAATGAAATTTGACAAAACACCCTCCTCTCCACTGGGAATATGCACCCAAAACAACATCCGTTACTTATTCTCAGGACAATGTGTACCTTGCTTCCAAATAACACTATTCTCCTCTGTGTTATTTCAGCAGGCGGGTGGGTAGAGAGTTCATCTTCCCGCCGTTTGCACTCAGCTCCTGCCAATGTCACAAATGGTGTAACCAGCAGGAAGCTCACAAATGTTGTTTGTAATTAAAAAGCAACTTCATGCCCGGAAACACGTGCGATATTGTATATAGAAAGAAATGTTCTTCACCATGGGAGTGCAGAGATGAATGCCCAAGATTTTAAAAATTAAATTAAAAATATGTGCATTGTTCTTGCAAAGGACGGTTAGTAGCCTGCAGTGAATCTGCATGATGGAAAGTTGTGCATGTGTGGCTTTGAATCCCCAATCTGTAATTTACTGAGCATTCATGCTCCTTTCATGTATAAATACTCGGCTCGACAAATCTGATTTCCTTGACCACCAATCCCTGCGATTCATTTTCTACAACTCTATGGTGTGGGTCCCCTGCGGGAAGCCTGATACCGCCCTCCTGCTGCTCCGTCCACCTGTTTAGAATTTACATCCAAAATCCATCTCAAACATACCATTTTCCCCCTGGAGAATATTGAGTTAATATATTAACAAATTCCAGATGAAGTCGATATGTTCTGAGGGCGTTGCAATTTCGTATTTCACAAACTCCCCTTTGATAGAACGGGCGACCCACATTTTTCAGAGTAAAATCAGAGCAGAGACACCTCCCCAAATAAAGTCCAAGCAAAACAATACACAAAAGAGAATTCCTTCTATGCATGTTTCCTGCATATTTTTCTTTCCTCTAACCATGGCATTCAATATGCCAGAACCAGACACAAATGATTTTATGCATTTTAAGTTAGATTTTTCCTAATAAAAACAGACAGAATTTATTTTTCATGGGGATTATGTGATTTTTCTGAAGTGCTGGGCTACCTGGTTCCTGCGGCAATGCTCCATCCATCACAGCTCAGAGCTCAGCTTCCTTCTTCTTCCTTCCTAGTAAATTGCATTAGCATAGATTACTTTGCAGTGAACATTGTATGGACTTATTTAATCAATGTCAGCAGAGTTTTCGGGCTTATGAGCATATTCATAGATCCCCCCCTTTTGCCGTTTCTTTCGAATGCCTTAAATCTAGGGATGTGGGTGCAAGTAAGGTGGTGGAGAGTGCCTTTGATTTCCTGTGCTCCTGCCAGAGGACTCAGGCTTCTGGAGTGAGTGCTGAAGAGCAGATGTCTGCCTTCCAACGTAAAAAACATGCATCTGTTTCCTAAATGTCAAAACAATAGCGGGCAAGTTATAGCATTTGTGTGGAAAGGTTTGAGTGGAAATGCTTCAGAGCTGGGCCTCATTTGTAGCTGGCCAAGGAATCAACCATGGAAGGAAGATATTGTACCTACCTATGAAGGCATGCATCTAAGAACAAGGGGGAGGGGGAGGCAGGCAAGCAGGCACACAGGCAGCCATTTGACTATCGTAGGAAGAGGAATTTAGCTGTCGGCTCATCTAATGGAGGTCTGTGAGCAAGCATGCCTATCTCTCCAAATATCCCAGCTTTCTTTCCACCATTCTATTTAAAGCCTACCTGGATCCGTTTAGTTCCAGTTTCTTATCTCCCCATCAGGGCATATTCTGGTTTCTGTTACCTGCGGATCTGTTTGCTTTCTTCCAAATGCCTGCATTTACAGAATGTGGCCAGGAGCTGATAGGATCCAGAAGTAACTAGGGTGATTATTTCTGACTGTTTAGTCAGTATGCAAGCTAGCAGGAAGAAAATCCCACTTTTCCTCCTCCTCAGAAGTAGTGTTTTCATCATTACATAAGAGAGAACAGATAATAAGAGGGTTAGCTACAGTGTCAGAATTCTCTATACAGCGTGGTAAACATTTAAATGTAATTAAATGATAGAATTAACTTGTTAATCCTTATGTGTTCCCTTCTGCATTCAAGAAATGTATCTCTAATTAAATTTCCCATTGGCCGTACTAATGAAAAGAATGTCATCTAGAACTCTAGCCATCGTCAGCACGTGTGGGCAGTAGCGATAAGACTGGGTAATTGCAGGATTAAGAATTGGTTTCTATTGAGGTTGAAAGCCATGTACACTAGAGAAAGTCACTGAATTATTTGAAATCACATCTATAGGCTCTTTGTCTTATGGTACTTGCTTTGTGCTGCTTCTTGGACTAATCCCCTTCCCCATTTATTGATATCCCTCTGATTTTGGCAAGAAGGGTAGCAACCAACCATACTACAGATACTCAGTTCTTTCCAGGTCATTTTCTGGTAAGTTTTGCAGAATCCCAATAAATAAAAAGTACAAGTTAAATTCCAACATTAGTTCTGTGATTAGAAGCACTCACTACTCTCTTTAATGTCAATTTGGCTTCTGAATGTATAGTAGAGAATTTGGTGTGGCCTCCAACACTTACTTCTTGCAAGAAAACAAAATAATATCAATGTAATAGGCTGAGAATCAGTCCCCTGCTATATATCCATGTGCAATGTATCTTTTCCTTGGTAGGGCTTAAGTGTGGGTTGGTTATGAAGGGTGTTGAGGGGAACTTGAGCATTTTTGGAACAGTCAATTAAGATTACATCTACTCTCTTCACCTTTATCATATAAAGAAACCACCACTGTTACCAACAAACCAAACCAATTAAATGAAAATTTATGGCCTGAACACACTGACACATGATCAGAAAAGTCTTTTGAGGGTGATCTTTGAAGATATTGCTTACTACTCCAAAGCCAGAACTAGAAGGAATGATGGCTTGAACTGATACTATTTTATGACCTTGGCACAATATTCTTCTAGTACTGGAACCAATTAAAAGTAAATACATAACTGGTCCTATGTGTTGCCTTGTATTGGATGATTCATCAGCTTGTCATCCATTTCATCTTTGCTGCAGGAAACTGAAAAAAATAGAACACTTCCGAAGCAAGGCTCTTGTTGCTTACCATTTGCCATTTCTGCCCCAGGGAACAGAGAACTCGCATCCTACTGAATGCCATCTACAGCCTTTGCT